GTCACAGTATTGCATCCCAGAGCCCGGTCCTTCTGACTCTTTCGGGATGGGGATAAAGACCTTGGACAGTAACGGACTCACATAGGGGCTGACATGTGCCCCAAAGAGAGCGTCATGGGTCAGATGCAAAAAGCTGTCTGGCTTTGGAGTGAAACTGGCCCAGACTTTATAGAGTTCACCTAAAATCATATGCCTTTTTTGGAAAGACCTAGAATCCTTATTTTGTAGAAAAGTGACAGTAGTAATGCTAACATTGTTGGGGTTTGCCAACTTCTAAGGATGAAGTGTTGTACATTTATCTTATTTAATTTTCATAGAAAATTATTTTCAATGAGGAAAATTTGAGAGGTAAGAAATAGTAAAAGAGAGGAGGGGAGGAAAGAAGAGACACAAACAAGGACTCAATTTTGTTCTGGAAATCTGGTAGCTGCTAAATGACCAACTTAGATGAATGCACAGGTTTGTTAGGCCCTAGAGCTGTGATTTCTATGAGGATTCAGAGTTTTAACATATGCACACCATGGTAGCTGGAATATAGTATTTAATCACTAAATTGTCATGGCTACGGTGAACTTTGTTGAATATTTGTTCATTATCTTTACTACTGCTGTTTAGGATAGATCTGGGATGCAAGTCTGGACTCTGTGGTAGACTGGTGGGCCTTGGCAGTGTGAATCCACATCAAGACAAAGTATTTCCATGAAAATAATTGTTTCTGCTTATTTCCAGATTAAAACTACCTCTCATAAAAGCTAGCAGAGCAATTAATTAAGCCTTCTGATTTTGGAATCAGAAAACCCATGTTCAAAATCTATGCTCTTACTATAGCTACTCTCTGTGTAACCTGGACAAATCTCTTATTCCCCTCTATGCCTGTAAAACAGGCTTAGTAATAGTTCCATCCTCAGAAGGTGGTGATCAGAATGAAATCAGACAGTTCCTATAAAACCTCTAGACAAGTGTCTGATAAGAGAGATATTGTATAATCATTATTGTTAATATTTCGTACTTGCTTAGAAGAAAGCTACTTGACTTCTATGCCCTACCCTGTTGCAGAGATATTGAAAGTTCAGAGTCAGAGACATCTATCTTTCCCTTTAACATTTTTTCTAGAAGAGCAGGGAGTCTGGAAAATACTTCGCACAACCTTAGATTGTGTACATGTCCTCCTGATATCAGCCAGAAGGCCGTCCAGATGAAGGCAGGGAGAGTGCCTTGCTCTCCTGCCCTGCCAGCTGGTCCAGCCCAGAAGTCCATTTAGGCCTGAGGCCTCCATAGCACATCTACATGTTGCTCGGCTGGCGTTGAGCTACATGCTCGCTGAAGTTTGCGAACAGTAAGCAACCTTCAAGTACTACGTGATGGCTGCCATACAGATACCTCACTGAACAGAGAATTTTAATCTGCAGCAGAACAGATAAATAGATAAGAAACAAATGAGAACTCAAGCCCTACACAATGTGAAACCCTGCGCTTCCGTGATCAGGTGCACCAGGCAATTCGTTGTTTAAATTTTAAAACTTGAAACCTAAGGCTATTTGTCAATAGTTCATGAGTATACTTTGTTGGGAATTGACTTTATGACAGATGCCACACTGAGTCTACACACACTGAGTTCGTGTCACCTTCACTCCAGGAATAAGTCTTCTTACTAGCTCCAGAAAAAGACCTGGAACCTAAAGTTCAGAGACTAAATAATGAATGCTTGGTTGCACAGCAGAAGTGTGGCAGGGCCATAAGACCCAGAAGAGAGTGCTACCTGTAGTACCAGTATCTAAAGAAATATTATTTTTCAAGGGAGCTGGGGAGATAGCTCAGCAGCATAAGCACCTGCCTGGCAAGCACAAGATCTTGAGTTTGATCCCTGGTACAAACAAACAAACAAACAAAAGATAGTATTG